CACATGTTTTTCATTATTCTCCACTTTTCAAAACTTTGAAAATTTATTGGTTGCTCAAAATCAAAATCAAAATTAAAAGTTAGAAGAATCGAACTTTAGACTAGTCATTAATGGAGGAGTTCACTAAGTATTAGATTCAATTCAATGGAGAAGAATTCATTAAAGGAATCTTTTGGTAACAAACCCTTTGATGAAGAACACCCACTTATTGAAATTGTTGTAAACATCAATTGAATTTTTCATATTAATTTTTGAGAAATGTTATAATAGCGAAAGAAGAAGCAATATCAGTGATAGAGTTTTTGAACGAGATTTCCTAGTGTTAAGAATTTTGATGAAGGTTGAAGATGCGGCAATGTCAAATCTCGAGAATCTTCAAAGAAAAAGAAATGGAGGAATTGAAAAGAAAGAGAAAAGGAGAAGATGAAAATATAAGGCAAAAAATGAAAAATATAAAAGAATAATTATTCTTTTTATATAAAAAAAAGAGTAAATATTACGTGGCAGTGCATGTAGACCACTGCCTAATACATATATGGGCTTGAATTTATAGGGGACTAGATATTTCACTTTTAAAAGGTTCAAGGGGTGATAGGACCCCCTTGAAGAATAATTGTGTAGTTGAGAATTCGGTAATAGCTTGGGGCTTTTTCCCATTTTCTCTAAAAAAATAACATAGAATGATCTTTATCATAAAATCCAAGCACATATTAAATAATCATAAATGAAATTAACCAAATAACAGAAACCTAAGGTTGAACTGACTTTACTAGGACACCAAATATCATAATGGACTAATAAAATAGCAGGTTTTGGACGATCCTCAGTACTACGTGAAAATATAGCACAGATGTGTTTCCCAAGTTGACACGACTCAAAATCTAATGTGGATAAACTAGACAAATTAGGCACCATCTTCTGTAGTTTTGATAGACTCGGATGTCCCAAACATTTGTGAATTAGGGAGAGAGGATCTTTAACGGAGCATGTTGTGAATGAATTTGAAGAGGTAAGATAGTAAATGTATTGTGATTCATGTCTTGTGCCAATCATCTGTCTGTACAACGGTCTTGCATGAGAAAATAATCATAAAAAAAGGTACTCCACAATGTAAGGCACACATCAAATGACTAACAAATGCTAGATTAAAAAGAGAACCAGAGACATAAAGAACATAGTCTAGAATGACAAAAGAGAGCAGTTTGGCTTTTCCAACTCCTTTTGGTTTTGTTTGGATCGCATTGACTAAAGTAATAATAGGAAAAGATTGTGAATAAATAATATCATAAGTTATTTGTTACCTGAAATATGATTAGAAGAGCCTAAGTTCATAACCCATGATCTAAGAGTACTAGATTGTGAAACACAAGCAAAAAGAATTACTCACAACATGAACATTGGGCTGAGTAATCGAGGCTACTTGTGGAGATGTTTCCCTACTTGATCGATACCGAAGGAACTCATCATACTCTGCCAAAGCAATATGAGCGTTATTGGGTGGTTGATCAGGCTGAGCAACAGATGCTACTTGTAAAGATGTTGGCGTACTTGCACAATTCTGAAGGTACTCATTATATTCCTTTATAACAGTGGGATCATAACTGAGTGGTGGATCATAAAAAATATGTCATATGACACGAGTGTACACAACTTATGACAATAACTACACTTGGATGAAGCACATCCAAAATGACCACCTCCTGCAGATTCTCCATAGGCTAATATGTTCGTTTGTTTATGGTTTGAAATGCTAGAATAGATGAGTCAGTGGTGGATGATGAAGCTACTTTTTGATTCGAAGGTGTGGCTAGACTAAGTAGATGAGAGAATATATATTCAATTGTAGGTACTGCATGACCAGCTAAAATCTCATCACACACTGAATCATGGTCAGGAGGAAGTCCAACAAGTGTAAGAACTAGGAACAATTTCTGTCGCTGCTCTTGTTGTTTTTTCACATTGATAGTGACTGCATCAAATTCCTCCATGATCATTCAAATTCCTCCATGATCGCTTGTACCTATCCCAAGTAAGTAGACTATTGAATTCTTGTTTCTTTAAGTTGGTTATTCTAGATATCACATCATAGAATTAAGATATATTATTAATATATAAAGTACGTGTATTTTTCCAAACTAAGTAACATGTCTGGGGTTGATGAAACAAGGGCATTAACTTGGAATCGATAGATCGCCATATGATGCAACATGATTAAGCATCAACCTTCTCCCATTGTCATTTGGCTTTATCATCTGCCTCACTAGCATTTACCTTTTAATCTACTACACAAGCATTGTTGGTTAAGTGATCTTGGATGCCTTGACTCTTGCACTACAACTCAATCGAAGAAGCCCAAACTAGATAGTTTGAGATTCCCATTAGTTGTTTGAAGTGATCATAACATTTGAACTTCCAATATTTTTGGAGCAAAAAATATCAACCCCGAACGCAATATTGTGAAATTAGAATATTCTCACAAAAAAATGATAATTAGATACGACTTCTGAAAATAAAATAAAATTTTGGGGGCAGAATCTGATTGCGGTAAATAAAATAAAAACTTAGGACTAAAATTTGACTACTTAAAATAGATCTGATTGCTGGAAAAAGAAAGAGAAATTTGGCCGCCAAAAACTGATCGAAATCAAAATTTTTTTTATATGGTCAACCTCGGAATCAAGAGGCAATCCCGCTGAGAAAAACCGTGGAAACAATGATCGGAATAATTGCTGATTGTTTATGGGACAACAATTTAAGTCACAAGAAAATTGTTTAGTGACAACTGATTTAATTTTCTCACCATTACTCTGATACCATGTGAGAAATGCATTATAAAATTATATATCTACATTATTATAGTGAGACCCTATTTATAACCCTACATTGGAATCCTTTTCTAACTAGGATCCATATTCTTATTCTTAAACCTATTCCAATTTTAATTAGGATTGTATATAGTTATTTCTATTCTAACAAGTACATTGATATTTACCTCATCTTACCTATGAACTTTGCAAAATAAACTTCTTATACCCTCCATTATTTTTTGGGATAAGAATGCCCCCATCATTATTCCAAGAGACCATAAATATCTCAAATAGTTAACTACCAAAAATTCTAGTGACGCGACAAGCAACATGAGACTAAACCCTCCACCTAAGCGCTATCAATTAGGATTTACTTAAAAAGATATTTAGCAGCAATAAAAGTCCACACAAAATTTCAAAATATTGTCACTAAAGGTTTTGATTGATTTTCAGCAATAATCATTCGCTAGTAAAACCTATTTTTTCAACAAGAAAATACGATATTAAATTTTGATTGCAACCTAATTTTCTAAAATAAATAACATGTACAATTAATATTAAAAACATCCAATATTATTACAAAAATCATAAAAATTACTTCTCGGCTCAAATTTCCTACTACATAATGCATTATTGTACATTTTATGCATTTACATATGACATAAAAAAATATGTAGCGTCTTCAAACTTCTCCTTGATCATTATCATTTGAAATTTTTTAAAAACAAGAAGAAAACAAAATGCAAAATCATAATTTAATATTGTAAATCAAAGAAAATCTTATGTAGCGATATTTTGGGATTTTGTGGCGACTTTTGTGGCCGCTAAATATTTAGTTTTTCAAATAAATCCTAATTAGCAACACTTAGGTGTAGGAATTAGTCTCACGTGGCTCGCATGTCACTAAAATTTTGAATTTTTAATTGTTGAGGATCTTTGTGGTTGCTTAAGATAACAGTAGAGATATTTATCTCAAAATGTAACAAATGGTATAAAAGTGTTATTCGTATAGTTCAGGGGCAATTTTGATCCATTTTTATTTCTTTATAAATTAATAAATATTTGCATTTGTGAAATTCTAAATAAATATTTATTTATTTAACTAAACGTATGAGAGTAATAAACCACGTAAAAATTAACTATTCTTTTATAAAAAATTCGGTCACAGGAACACTTTCTTCCTACCAAATATGAATTCTTTTTTATATATATAATTTATATTTTGATCTTTTATACAAATTTGAAAACATAATTGAAATAATAAATATACTTTTATTTTAAATTTGATAGTTATGTTAATTCAAATTAGCCCAAATGATGAATATAAGAAAACTTCCTTCACCGCTGTCTCTCCACCTTCTTCACTTGCTGTTCGAACAGCAACGCAAAACACATCCTCTCTCTTTATTTCTTTCTCTCTCTATAAAATCGTGAAGGGTGGAAGGAAAACCTGAAAAAGAAATCCTTAACTATTCTGTATCACCATGAATGACCTTTTAAATGTAACTTTTTTCTCTCCATGTACATCAATATTCTTAATTTCTTTTGCTGCTGATAATTAGATAGATACGTTAAAATTCTTTTTAGATTTTTTTCATCTTTCACAGCTTTTGTAGCTCAATTTTTCAATAATTGCTGTTATTTGTTTTTTCTACTTATTTTGATTTGAAAAATAGGTTTGGTAGTGAGCTCATTGTTGTTAATGAAGGACCTTTATGTGTAGTATTACATATGATTTATAGCAGATGGGTAAGCTGAAAGTGGGAATTACATTTGGATTGTGACAATTGTTAAAAACTGCAAATATTGGACTTTCTTAGCTACTGTCATGCAGTTAGTTTCTAAACATAACAATTTTCTTGATTTCCTATTTTTTCTGGAGAAAAAACATCTATAATGTACTTGATCATGGATAATGTATTTTATAAACGTGCTAAGCATTCTATGACATTTTGCATTGCCATAATTGTTGAAGGCTTTGACGCTGCATTGACGTCCTCTTTTAGCTACTAAGGTTCAGCTCATTTTTAATGTAACTTTTAAGGGTGAGAGAAGAGGTGAAGGAAGAAAATTCCTTGTTTGCCCCTTCCCTTTCTACTATAGTATTACTTATCTTTTAGTGTGGCTCCTAACAAAATGCTGTTTCAACATAACAGAGAAAGTAAAGAAGATACATTATTTGGCTTCATTGGGCGGTAAATCATCTGAAGTTACATTGAAACATGTTTATTGAGTTCATACTTTAGCTTGCTCTTCCTTTTGTGGAATAATGAGTCTTAATCATTGGTTTCTCTAAAAAGAGTCTTAATACATGGTATCCTCTTTAAGTTTTATGAAACATGAATGCATGTTTTTTTGGTATCGACCAACACCCAAGGGTGTGTCCTAACTGTCAATGAGGTTGGGAAGGACCATGGAGACCAAGTGTTTAACAGAAGCATACAGTGTCAAATGATTTGTTGTTGGATTTGTCATATACCTTTGGTGGTAGGAGGTAGCGAATAGCCAGAGGATTGAAAGAGGTGCGCAAGCTAATCCGGACCCTATTGTTGTTAAAAAGAAAAGAGTTTGTATTGACCATAATGTTGCTAATGTGTATAAATTATTATTATGACAATCTTACTGGAAAAAGTTTGTTGGAAATCGTGTTAGCATGAACAGTTGTAGGTTTCAGAACCACTGATCAGATCCATTTTGCTTAATGCATAATCTGAATCTCAGACTTGATCCTGAAAATAATTGGTTATTGTGATCTATGGTTAAAATTTCCAGTTGTATATACTCTCCTAGTTTGTGTGAGACACTTGAAAATTCATTTCCTTCTCACAGTGGGCATCAAAAACTCTCTTTTGTTAGAATTTTGCAAATGATTTTCTTTTCTGCCCGATTAATAAGACATGTGATAGTAACAATACCTTTGTCTTCTCATGTTTAAGTACTTATTAAATACTTATCCCAAAATTTTCCTCTCTTTGTTGAATAATTATTTCAGGCCCATATTTGATTTTCCTTGTGCTTTACTTCTTTGAGATCATAGAATACTTCTGTCGCTTTTAAGAAAACCAGTATTATTACCTATCAAGTGCACTTTAACCCAAAATTAGCTGAAATGACTATATGAATCATTTATATGTATTCCAGTGTATTTAGGTTCACAGCCGGAGGATTCATCAGAGTTAATTTATACTTAAGTTGGTTTTCAACCTATGGTGACTGTTGTACTCTTTTCTGGTTTGGAACTGGTTTTTCTTATCACAAGGCTCTACAAGTAGTATTTCTCCTTAATATATCTTCTGGTATTGATCGAGTCTCACAAGCATGTCACTTTATGCATTCCTTATAAAATCCTACATTCTTCTGATTTGCACTTGTCAATTAAAAATAAGAATGTTGTTTTTTATTAACCATCTGTTTGATTTGTGTTGTAGGATGGTCTTGATGCCTTTGAGGCTCCCAGGCATCAAAATGATAGAAGTGAAGATATTGAAATGGGAATACAAAGACCAATTGACTCTGGAGAACTAGGTCTTGATGATTTCTTTAAGCAGGTTTTGCTGCAGAATCTTACACATGTTTTATCTTGGAAAATTAACTCTGATAATTTCGTTTTCCCTCCTTCCCTCAATTACTTTTTGTTCCATATGTTGAAGTTGATCTCCTAAAATTTTCTGCTTGCTCATTTCCTTGTCTCTTTTTCTTGCATTGTGGCTAGGTTCAACAAATTGAGAAGCAGCATGAAAAGTTGGAAAAGCTCCTGATGAAGCTTCAGGTATAAATGTCCTTCTATTATACTTATGAAGTCATCCTTACCTAATTTCAGTTTGACTAGCATGTAGTGAGTGAGATAGAACTTCCTTTGAAAATTCCATTTAAGTTTGTTAGGTTTTCTTAGTTTTGTCTGGTTCATGCCAAGTAATGGGTATACACGGGATAGAACATCTCTGTTTAAATTATTTATTTTTATTTGTGAACATATTTTCACCAGTTACTCAGAGTAGAGGTCTATGTGGGAAATATCGATTGTTATGTTGCCATGATTTTGAAGCTCTTTACGCAAAACATGTGAAGTTGTGCATCTTTTCGACCTGGTTTCTCGAGCTCATGCAAAACATGAGGTCATGTTTCTTGAGTACGTCATCTTCCTTTCCAACCTGGTTTAGTGAGGTTGGGTTTTTCTTGTTTGTATCATGAGTGTTTCTCCTTTGCAAAGCTATCAATGCTTTATTCAAGACTCTTAGGAGTCTATCATTCATTCTCCCTCTCATTAGCTTTCCAAAGCTCGACATGAAAGAACAAAGAAAATAGGATATGTATTTCAAATGGTTTGTCCTTCGCTGTTAGGGTTTTTGATATTTGTTATTTGAAGATCTATTTTAATCCTGTGACGGTTTTGTCAATGTAAGATGCAACTATTTTTGTTTTGACCACCTGGTGCACAAGCCACTTCTTCCATATAGTGTCTCTTTTTGTCACTAGTCCTACAAAGTTCTGCATTATGGAAGATGGTTCTTTTTTATTGCACGCTGTGTGTTTACATAGAGAATAAACTAGAGAGGAAGTAAATTGTTTGAGAATACATAAGAGCTCTGGTTCTTAACCATTGTGTATTTAGACATAACCGTATTTACTATTATTCCGTTGATTGTTGGAATCCTATCCTGTTGATAATGGGATCCTATCCTAATGTTGAATGTGGCTTCCTTTATCTATAATATTAGAGTAATTGCATAATTATCTATTCAAAATCAATGCTTCCTCTCTCAATGAAGCATATGCATCATATGCTATAAGCTTGTGACATGTAATATATATTCCTGTTCCTTTAAGTGATTGGATAAAAGATCCTCAAGTTGATCATTTGCCAAATAGAAGTTTTAATGATATTGTTAGATGCTATTTTTCCTTTCAAAGTGATAATCAATCTTAATATATCTGGTTCTTTTGTGAAGATAGAATAAATGCAAATGCAAGGCACCCTAATCGTCACATATCAACTACATGGGTGATAATTTTCAGCACTTCTTATCAACCAACTGTCTTAGCAAAACTAACTCTCACAAAGTCCCAAAGGCCATTGACCATTATCTTGCATCTAAATGGACAGTGACAAACTATTTCTTGCCTTTCCTAGTAAAAATTGCCTCCAACTAAAATAGTACCTAGTGCTGGTGGTCAAACGTTTATATGAAGAACAACCAGCCCATCGCATATCTGAATCTATATCGCTCTATCTTCATATAATAGTGTTTTTCTTGGAACCTTTTGCTGACCCCAAAATACAAACCATAGTTCTCCAATGACTATCTCATGATTAGTCCAAGAACTCATTGCCAACACTTCCCTTTAAATAAGATGTCTGGATGAGTAGTTGTCAAAGTTTCGACTTTCTAACCAGTCTTCTACACCTTCCAGGATTAGGTAGTTGGTTCCCGTTATCTTGCTAGGCCTATAAGCTTTATATTGGGATCAATTGATTCTGTTGATTGTCTCATCTGAAATTTTAACTTTTAAAAAGCAAATGTTTCTATTTTTGTTTCCAGTCTACAATAACTCTATTACATGCATATCTTTTAATATTTTTTATTGGGAAATATTTTGTTAATTCATGACACTTGACTTCCTCTTTACCGTTTGGACCATGGGAAGTACTTTGTCTAAAGTTTAAACTGTTGGAGAGTGGAGACAATTATTTCCGTTTGCAAATTAATCTGTCATTTGTAAGCTAGCTTTAAATTAAGCATTCCTGCCTCGAAAATATCTAGAGCTTTTTTCCTCTATGAAAGGCGTGTGCCGTGACTAGATTTTCTCCTCTCAATTCCAAGGAAAATGCTTCAATCTGTCAGAATCATTGGTTTAGAAATGATGATTCCAGGGGTGTGACAAGTGGATCATGCCATCTGCATCACCTCTGATCACAATATTCTGTCTGAGAAGAGATGAGTATATTAGTTAGATTCATGTTGTATAATAATGAATAGCCAACATAACTCCACATTAAACCAAATTGATGGACAACCACAGAATTTTGATTTTTGATGACCTAAGCTTGTGGAATTGCTTCAGGCGATAGAGGGTTTCCTGAAAACGACAAACCATACTGTTCCACAGGCCGATAAAACTAGGTGTAATTAACAACTTTGAGAAGGTGGATGACTACATCAACTATATCGGAGTGATAGATTAGAGAATTAGAAACAGAAAGATGGGCCACAATAGTATGGGAAGGTCATTTTCATAAAAATAATATGGGAAGTAGATGGCGAAGTCCGTGAGATTCACTCCGGTGGAAGGTACCAAGTGTCGACTTGCACGTCTTGCTTCTGAGTGCGGATATTCTTATTCCTTTTTCATGTGGCTAGGAGCTCTTTCACGTTTATAATCCACAGATTTCAGTCTTTTTGGGTACTAAAACCCCCTTAAGGGTTTCAAAAAGGTAACTCCAAAAAGCATATGTTGACTTTAGGTTAGTTGATGTGAGATATGGGGCCAAATGTACTGACCAAATGAAAATTACAAAGAAATTAGGACCAAATGAGCTCTTGTTTTGAGAATGTAACAACTAATCTATATATCCACAGTTATACTACATCAAAACTAAGTTGTGTGGACTCTTCACTTTCGATGCCGCACCCGTGTCTGATTCTCCAAAAATGCACTACTTTTTGCAAATCCGACACGCACCCCTTGACATTTTTGAAGAGTCCGAGCAACATAGTATCAAGATATATAGTCCTCCTTCAAAAGTATTATTACATACATCTTGAGCATTTCTATGTTGTTCCTAAAATAGTCTAAAACATCAAAAATATCTTTTTCTTTTTAAGACAACAACTGTATTCAGTAAAAACTAGCCATCCCAGAAAAAGGCTCTAAGTTGAAAACTTTACAAGCATCGAAAGGGTGCTTAAACCTCTGCCCATATCGCTATACAATTATACATAGCCAATTCAATATATTAACTCTACTACACTCTCCCCTTCCCCCCCCCCCCCCCCAAACACACAGACACACACAGATTCTGTTTACACCAAAAAACCAAAAAGCTAAGACAATGCTCGGATAGAACTCTCATTCCAGAAACTGATCTTTAGGCCATTCCCCACTCCGAACGTCACCTGCGCATTGAAGTAAGTCCACATTCCACATTCTCCTGATAATTTTCCATATTGAGCACCCACAAGTGCCATTCACCTATTAAGCTATCCAGTTGCTCTGTAGGCCACATTTCTCAGCTATTAACCTTCTCCATAATGCTGTATCTTTGCAACAGAATCTCCATGACCATTTTTACAACAAACTAGCGTTCTGAATACTCAAGTTCTTAATACCTAGACTTCCTTGTGCTTTTCCCATTATCACCTCTTCCCATATAACCAAGTTGTATCCTTGCTTCTCTTTGTTCCCTTGCCAAAGAAACACTCTTCTCAACTTGTTGAGTTTCTTTCCAATACTTTTTGGTAGTGGAAAGAGTCTTAGCATATAAGTTGGGAGGGTCACTCTACCTCCCTGAGATAAGTATTGACTCTTCTACCTTGTCAGCTTTCTTTCACTTCTCTCTAAGACTTCACTCCATACTTCCAATTCTTTGTTCTTGGCTCCCAAGGGCATCCCCAGGCATTTGGTGGGAAGAAGAGCCACTTGGCAGCCCAAGGGTTGTCTGCTAGGCCTTGCATATTATTGACTTATTAACCGAGAACACACAACTCTTCTTGTGAGACTTCTACACCACAGAACATAAGGGAATCATCTGCATACAGTAGGTGTGTGACCTCCATGTTCTTAGCCCTGTTAGTATATGAACCAAAACCTCTTATCCACTCCAATTCATTAGCCTTTCTAACCATGTAGTTGAGTCCCTCCATTGCTAGGAGGAATAAGAAAGGAGACATGGGATCTCCTTGTCTCAGTCCCCTTTGTGATTGAAAAAACCTTCTGTCCTCCCATTTATAATGATTGAGAACTTCACTGTTGACACACAAAACTTGATCCAATTCACCCATTTCCTCCCAAACCCCATGTCACTCAGAACTTTAAAGAGATGGTTCCAGTTGACATGGTCGTATGCCTTCTCTATATCCAATTTGCAGAGATACCTGTTATCTTGTGCTTTACCCTGGAGTCCACCAACTCATTAGCCAATAAAGAAGCATCCATTATCTGTCTATCCTTCAAAAAAGCCATTTGATGCTCATTAATCAGTCTCCCCATAACAGTTTTCATTCTTTCAGTGATCAACTTAGTGATGATTTTGTAAATCAAACTTATTGGCCTAAAATCCTTTAGTTCCTATGCTCCATACTTCTTAGGGATTAATGCCACGAAAGTGGCATTCAAGGATCTTTTAAACACTTCATTCTGATTCTGATGGAAGTTATGAGTTGTTTGCATTACATCATCCTTTATGATCTCCCAACACTCCTTAAAAAACTCATAGTGAAACTATCCAGGCCAGGGGCTTCATCCCCATCACACAATTTGAGAATGTGTAGCACTTCCTCTTCTGAGAATGGTCTCTTCATCTGTTCTTGCTCCTCTTAACTTATTCTGGGGCAATTCATCATCACAAAAGGTGGCCTCTAGCTTTCTGGTTCAGTATATAGCTTCGTATAAATATCTGTTATGTACTCTTTGATTTCTTTTGGATCTTTACTCTCCTCCCCTCTAATAATCGATCTCTCGATGGTGTTGTATGTCATATCTCCTATGTGTTGTTGCGACTCTTTGAAAGAACTTGGTGTTATTTTTTCCTTGCTTTAGCCATAATACTCT